CAATAATTAACGCTCCTCCTCTCGCTCTTCGTTTTATTTCATCTTCATCCCTCAGTCCCACAGATCCTCACCCTCTCTCTCTCTCTCTCTCTCTCTCTCTCTCTCTCTCCGGTCTTCTTTAAGCTCTGTGTGGAGGGGAGCTGACCGAACCCAAGGGTACCATCCTGTCTCCTGATTGGCCGCAGAGCTACTCCAAGGGGCTGGACTGTGTTTGGCAGATTCACGGCAACGAGGAGAAACGCATCGAGCTGGACGTCCACATGTGAGCGCTGAATATTCTTTACCGACATGTTTGAGAGTTTGTCATGACGACGTTTGGCGCACAGATTCTGTCCTCGGGGGGTTCAGAGCGTTAACGGCGAAGAAGTTCTCCTCTTCTTCACGGTCTGAATATCTTTAAGTTCATTTACAGTCTCAGTTTAATCGGAATAAAATCATAACTCGTTCATATTTTTGCTGAATCAGACTTCTCTCCTTGTCCACATACACATGCAGCTGAGAAAATTGAATTATTGACGTGAACGTGTCCTCCTCCCCAACACTAGGGGGCGATATGTGTAGGCGCCAAAATATATTTGTTTAGGATATGATCTACAGGTGCGTCACTTTCAGGGATGGTCACTGAGGGGTGTGGCTTTGGGATATTTGGCGGGTTAAGCTCTGATCATTTTCTGTTCACCGTTCTTCATCGTTTTGTTTGAACCTCATTTCATCCTCTCACCTTTTCATTTGAAGGAAAAGTTTTGGACCTGGATTTTCTTTCCTTTTTTGAACAATAATTTCCTTTTTTAAAACTCAAACCGGACTGATAATTAAACGAGTCACAGATGCAGGCGAACCTAAACCCCAGCAGCCCCGGCGGCGCTGTTTCCGACCCCGTCCAACCGTCAACAACAACAGCAGGTCGGTGTCAGACGTCAGAAGTGTCTACAACTGCTGCTGGGCATTTTGGAGAAACAAGAAGATGGAGCATCGTACAGCGTTGTTTTTGTCCGACATGATGGACGCGCTACTTTTTCTAAAGAGGAGACCAACGCTACTCCTCTACTCTGGAGGTTTGTTACGGGGTTACAGGGGCGTGGCGTCATACTCCGACTACGCTGGTTACATGGTCGAGAAAATCAAGTTCCAATCTCATTATCTGGGTGTCTTAATCAAAGGTCTTAAACTCTGATTATAGTCGGACTAAAGTGTTTCCATGACCTTCAGTTGTCCGGTCTTAATCGGAATAAGGCGATAATTCGGTTTTCTCGAGTGTCATGGAAACGGACTGATTGTTAACCGAACTCGAGTTTAATCAACATCCTGCTGCACCAATCAGCTCAAACTCGTCAGGTTTTCATCTCGGTCTGACTGAAGGTTTACAGTCGTCGTCAAATGAAGAAACAAACTTCCCGGCTGATCGTCTGTTTTTATTCATCTGTTAAAAGACTGAAGTTTAATTTCAGAGAAGAGGAGGAGGAGTTCTGGTTCTCAGCTCTCTGCTCCTCCTCCTCCTCTGTTGACATGTGGGACGTCGGCTCTGAAGGAAAACCTCCACTCTCTGTTTTTCTCGCCTCCTCTCAGTTTGAACATCCGCCACACCGACGTCCTGACTGTTTTCGACGGACGCTACACCATGTCGCACGTGATTGGACAATACCTGGGGTCCAAAGAGCGTTTCAAGGTTGTGTCCGGAGGGTCAGAGGTCACCATTCAGTTCCAGAGTGACCCCGATGAGTCCAGTTTCATCCTGAGTCAGGGATTCCTCATTAATTACCGCGGTAAGTCCACGACCTCAGAAACAGGAAGTGACCACCTCCTCCGAACTGTTCATGACGCTCTCTCTCTCTCTCTCCCTCTCTCTCTCTCTCTCTCTCTCTCTCTCTCTCTCTCTCTCTCTCTCTCTCTCTCTCTCTCTGTCTCTCTCTCTCTGTCTCTCTCTGTCTCTCTCTCTCTCCCCCTCTCTCTCTCTCTCTCTCTCTCTCTCTCTCTCTCTCTCTCTCTCTCTCTCTCTCTCTCTCTCTCTCTCTCTCTCTCTCTCGCTCTCTGTCTCTCTCTCTCTCTCTCTCTCTCTCTCTCTGTCTCTCTGTCTCTCTCTCTCTCCCTCTCCCTCTCTCTCTCGCTCTCTCTCTCTCTCTCTCCCTCTCTCTCTCTCTCGCTCTCTCTCTCTCTCTCTCTCTCTCTCTCTCTCTCTCTCTCTCTCTCTCTCTCTCTCTCTCTCTCTCTCTCCCTCTCTCTCTCTCTCTCTCTCTCTCTCTCTCTCTCTCTCTCTCTCTCTCTCTCTCTCTCTCTCTCTCTCTCTCTCTCTCTCTCTCTCTCTCTCTCTCTCTCTCTCTCTCTCTCTCTCTCTCTCTCTCTCTCTCTCTCTCTCTCTCTCTCTCTCTCTCTCTCTCTCTCTCTCTCTCTCTCTCTCTCTCTCTCTCTCTCTCTCTCTCTCTCTCTCTCTCTCTCTCTCTCTCTCTCTCTCTCTCTCTCTCTCTCTCTCTCTCTCTCTCTCTCCCTCTCTCTCTCTCTGTCTCTCTCTCTCTCTCTCTCTCCCCCTCCCTCTCTCTCTCTCTCTCTCTCTCTCCCCCTCCCTCTGTCTCTCTCTCTCTCTCTCTCTCTGTCTCTCTCTCTCTCTCTCTCTCTCTCTCTCTCCCCTCTCTCTCTCTCTCTCTCTCTCTCTCTCTCCTCTCTCTCTCTCTCTCTCTCTCTCTCTCTCCTGTGGCACAGAGGTCGAGCCGAACGACACCTGCCCGACCCTCCCTCAGATTGCGTTCGGCTGGATTAGCTCCTCCCACTCCTCCCCGGTGAGAGGCAGCGTGCTGACCTATCAGTGTCAGCCAGGATATGACATCAGCGGCTCTGACATCATCACCTGCCAATGGGATCTGTCGTGGAGCAGCAGCCCGCCCACCTGTGTCAAAGGTGAGGTCCGCCGAGATGAGAGCGCCCCCCTGTGGTTTAGAGAGCTGAGGATGAACCCTCTTGGTCCTCAGAGGTCGACCAGACGCCTCAGAACATTAAAGTCCAACTCTGAGCGTGCGTACACACAGACCCTAGTGGTCGAACAGTGAAACTACAACTAGAACCATTAAAGGAGTCGCAGCGTTCAGCGATCTCAGACTTCACACGTTCTCTGTTCTCTCTGTACAAAACTGATCAATCAGTTACTGATCAGACATTTTCAATGATCGGTGTGACAAGTTATAAAATCGGCTGAGACAGGACAACCTCAGAGGAAGTCTGACAAGTTCAATTACAAGTATAGTCAATCAGTGATCAATAATCTGAGATGATCATCTGGATCTGTTAAACGTTGTTGACTCCTTTATTCTGCGCCTCCATGATTTCAGCGAGGAGGTAAAAATCCATTCAGTCATTTTTAAAGGGGTTGTTGATACCATATATGGTCAGTTGGAGGCGTGTCTGAATGTAAATGACCCTAACCATAAACGAGCTCGCGTTCGAGTGTGCGGCCGACCGGTGTCGCATGTTTGAGAAATACGGAGTTTTTTGTTCTTTCGCACGTTCGACGTTTCGTTCCTACGACAGAATTTTGTTTTGGTGAAGTTGGAGTTGAAAGTTTCCGTGTGTCCCACTTTGTCCCCTCCAGTCCAGCAGTGTCCTGATCCAGGTGAGGTGGTGAACGGAGCACGCTCAGTGCGCCCAGAGGCGGGCTTCGCGGTCGGCACGGTCGTCCGTTTCTCCTGTAACCAAGGTTACCAGCTGGAGGGTCCGAGTCAGATCTCCTGTCACGGACGAGATACCGGTACCCCCAAATGGAGCGACCGCAGCCCCAAGTGTGTCTGTAAGTCCTCTCTGCGCTCTGCTGCTCTGGTCTGCCGGTTTGTGATGTTAAAGGATCTGAGCGAATCACAGACTCTGGTTTTTGTGGTTCTTCACAGTAAAGTACGACCCGTGTCCGAACCCCGGGGTCCCGGACAACGGTTACCAGACTCTGTACAAGCACAACTACCAGGCCGGAGAGACTCTGCGCTTCTTCTGTTACGAAGGTTACGAGCTGATCGGCGAGGTCATCATCAGCTGTGTCCCCGGTCACCCCTCTCAGTGGAACAGCCCGCCGCCGTTCTGCAAAGGTAGGGGGTCACCGTGGGGGGTCTTTAGATACTCTGACCCAGTTTTCACTCAGTGTGGAGGGTCTGAAACTGAGACTCTCTCTCTTGTCCCCCCCCTCGTCTCACAGTGGCGTATGAGGAACTTCTGGACGATCACAAACTAGAAGGTGAAGAATTTCCTCTTCCTGTAGTTTGTTGTTGTCAGAGGACAGAGGACTGGACTCTTGACCCCCTTTAAAGTCCTGGTTGACGATCTGATCTTCAGTTGAGGCTGATTTGAAAAAGCGTCCCACCCCCCACGATAACTCCGCCCCCTGAACCTGTATCACCCTCCCCACGACACACCCCCTCAGGCAGATCAAGAAGCCGGCAGTCGGCAGAAGATCCTACGCTAGCTTCAAATAGGATTCACCGTGTCGGATTGTTAGTGACTAGTAGGGATGGGAATCGAGAACCGGTTCTTGTTGAGAACCGGTTCCAAATGGTTCCCTCCATCGACATCATTTAGATTTTATCTTAAAGATTCTTCCCTGCCGGGTGCCTAAAAAAACGGTCTCATTAGAGACAGTCTATGTGAACGGAAACAGAGACTTTGAGGAAATAAACATGGCGAATGGTCCGAAAAGTCGGCAGAAACTTTCCTTACCATTCGTACGAAGTGTGGCTTCATTTTACAAAGATAGCCTCCCCCCGCCTCCTTCGCCTCTGATTGGCTCGAAAAGCTGGAAACGTCATCACACGCTCAGGCCAAACGCGGGCTGTTGGCACTGTTGATCGAACAGAACATCATCGCAATTCTGAATCTCCGAACCCGACAGACGATGACGTTTCACAGTCATAAGGAATAACCAATCAGAGCCCAGCACTTCTGGCCAATCAGAGGTGAAGGAGGGCGGGACCTTCACCTACCATCCTACAAAATAAAAAAAATGCTGCCAGGAGAGTGGGAGGGGACGGAACTACAGGAGAGGGGTGTGTCGAATACAGCGAGGTGATTGGATGGAGAGGCGGAGCAGGAGATTGACCAATAGGAGCTGTCTGGAACGGATGGCTCCTATTGGTCAATGTTTTTACAGCCCTGCACCTGATAGGGTGAACGGATTTTTTCCGATCTTTTGTCTCTTTACTTTGTGGAGATCGCACTATAGGATCATGATCGCCATAGAAACGAGGTTCATAATAATCACCGATCTCTCCAATCGTCGACCATGACTTTAAAGGGAGCAGATTAAAGACGGCGTGAAGGAAAACCTCCTTTTCTAAAGTGTCTCTGATCCTCTCACAGTGTCTCAGTCCTTCGAACCGTCCCATCAGATCCTGAGCGAGAACATCGCTCTGGCGATCATTTTGCCGATCATCCTGGTCATCCTTCTGATCGGAGGGATTTACATGTACTACACAAAGTAAGAGTGAGCAGAACACGCCGCCGCCGCCGTACCCCGTCTGAGGTTCCTCAGGTAAAGTGTTAATCTGTTAATCTGTGACTTCCTCAGCATCTGCAGACTAGAGTGGAAGCCGCTCTTCTGGAAGTCTCTGTCTCACACACACTCCTACAGTCCCATCACAGTGGAGTCCGACTTCAACAACCCTCTGTACGAGGCGGGGGTGAGTAGGAACACGACCTGTTCTCAGCGCTTTGACCCTCTGACTGTTCTGGTGTTTTACTTTGAAAATCCTCTTTTTACCCACAGGACACACGGGAGTATGAGGTTTCCATTTAAAGGAGAAATCGTCTGGGTGAGAGTAAAAATCCACAGAAAGATCCGATCCTTTTAAAAACTAAATTCTTGGTATGATCAGGCCTCACTTCCCCTGAATCACTCACGCCCACCTTCTTTAAAACATCGTTTATTTCTTGATTTATGAGCCCTGAAGTGTTTTATTTTGATGTGGTGGTCTGCCAAATGTGGGTCCGACTTCACGGCCTCACTCTGTGCCATGAGGACTGGTGCCTTAAGAAGGTAACAAGGAGGAAGAGGACGAAGAGGAAGAGGAGGAGGAGGGGCTCTGGCTTTATCTCTTACATTCGGTTATTCGGAGGCCAAAACATGAGAGAACTCGGCAATACTTTCTTCTTGACTTCCTGAAGTCACAATCATGACCCCTCAGTCCAGACTCCGGTTTTTAGATTTGCTCCTGTTACATTTCACCGACTGAAAGCGTGCGGCGAGGAAAGAAACTTTAGAGAGTTTCAGACCGACACACTCATTTCAATCCCTCACTTTGTCTTTCTCTCTATGTAACAAAACACACACACACACACACATGCACACACACACGCACACAAATTGAATGTAAATATCTGACTTATTATTGGTTGAGGTTGATATATATGCTAAATTATATATAAACCTCATATATACACTTTGACGAGGTGTGGGGAGGTTATATATTTTCATTATATGTACGTAATGAAAATTCAGTGCCAAAATATAATGTTAAATAATTTAATGTCTTAAGTGTTTCATCTGTTGTTGCAATACTGTTTACAAAGGCAGTGTTTCTTTTCTTCTTCGCTGTTTCTGGCGTGCGTCGTCACCCAGTGTCACATGACATGTAGGAAAAGGTTGAGGACATGAATGTCATATGCTTAAAGCATGCACTGATTGTAAATTATATTGCTTCTGCTCAATCTCGCCATGACCATTCTAGTTATTGACAGTTATCATTGTTATCAGATTTGATGTTGTATGCACTACGTTGATGAAAATTACAACTTTGGCTGCTTGCTGTGATGCATTCTGTATTTATTTATAACTGATTGTTTGAACAGTGAATGTAGTTTTATTCACTGTGCCAAATGAAGGATCCTGGAGACTGTTGCTTTGTAGAATTAATTCTTCTCTTATCATCAGTAGCATTTCTTTGCTTCATATATGAATACACTCTTTGGAGGGCGGTTAACTAATTACTGAACTGGAAATAAAGTCTCTGTTGAATGGTGTTGGGCTGGTACAGACTCTTATTTCACATACTTTGTGCTCAATATAAAAATTTTAAATATAATTCATAAAAAATTCCCTTTTAATAACTGACAGAGTCGGTTAACAATAATTTAAATTACGAACAAGAAAAAAAAAAGAATTATATAAAACAACCACTGAAGACACAGATAAATGTTAACTGTAAAAATAAACATCATTATTCCAATTTAGTATGAGGGGTAACGACTATGCTGAACAAAAATGATCGCTTTTCTTTATTTTGGAAAAAAAAACAATTAAAGAAATGTGTGTCGTTGTTTTTATTTTGAAAAAAAATATTTCTTATTTTACTCCTATCGTTTTATTTTGAAAGTACTTCCTGTCGTGTCGATCGTTTGCCTTGTTTACGTTGATTATTGCAAACTTGACAGGTTATAAACTGCAGTTCTCCGCTACGGCCACTGGAGGGCAGTAAATAGTCTTAATTCCTGGGTCGGTGTTGGGTGATGGTGTATCCGTGACTAGATTTCCTGAGGCAAATTAATCGATTTAAAGATTTAACATCAAGAACAGAGGAATTTCAAATTAAGAGAGAATAATTAGGTTAATGTTAAGTTTTATTCTCAATTATAATGAGTTTTTTGCATTGTAATTCTTGTTGGAGGCGGTACATCGCGTCATCAGTCGCCGCGTAACTGAAAATTAACCGTAGAAGAAGAAGAAAGAGGGCGGAAGTAGATCCGCTGGTTTCGTTTCCGACTGACCTCTTTAGCTTCTCCTGTTAGCATCGTTTAATAATCTTTATGTCTAATGATGAAAGTGGACGTTAATAACTCATCTTTTTTTATTCTGTTTGTTAGAATATAAGTTAAACTCAAGTCTTAAACACAGAAGTATAAACTAGCTGCTGTTAAATTAGTACAGTTTTAATTTCACTCCTTCGGTTTCGGGCTCTTCCTCTAAACAGGACCATTCCACTGAGTTCGGACCCACAAACATCAGAATTTATTATCATATTATCACAAACTATCTCTGCTCATCTGGCGGGGTTTTATCTGGAGCTCCATTGGATGTTCAGTGAGGTAAGTTCAGTCTGTTTTAAACTGGGTTTTGATGATTGATCAGAGTATTGATCCGATTATTGATTCTGTGAAAGAAAAAAAATCTACATGAAATTAAAACCTGAATTTATAAACAGTAAATGAATTAAACTGAATATATATGTGATCTTTTACTTCTTAAGCATCACTTAATAATCTTTTAATAATGATCAGAGCCTCAGTGGGGCCCTGAGCAAAAACTGATGACACACTGCTGCTGCTGTTGTTTGTTTGTTTGTTTTCCCTTCTTTTTGTTTTTGTTTCATCTTTTTCCCCCTCCCCCATATTTTATCCTTTTCTTGTCATTTTCTACCTTATTTGAATTAAAATGATGTATGTTTCTTTGTAAATTCTGAGAATAAAATAAAATCTGATTATTAAATAAAATAAGGGTAAAACAAAAAACATTTTAAAGAAACAAAATAGAATAGAAAAATGACAAAAATGAAAAGAATAAACATCCATTATCAGAGTAGTTCTTGAAAACATTGCATTTTAATTCTTGTTGATTTGTTCGTCTTTTTAAAGTCGTATTAGAATAAAAGGTTAAAATCTGAAACGGATCATTTTTGACGTACTTTAAACTTCGGAGGATTACGAATCACTGGATGGTGTTTTTGTGTCAGTTTGAGCGACTCTCTCTCTTTTAAAGTCTTTTTTTGTGAAAGTAAATCCTTGGCTTTATAGATTTTGTCATTTTAATCTGATTTACGTCTGATTTCTAACTAAGTTTGTTTTCTACTTTGACCCTGAGGAGTTTAAAGATCTTTCACAGAGGGTGTCGTTCTCTCATCCAAACCTGTAAATGATCTTTGTTGTTTTTCTTCGTCTCTGTCAGGAATCGACTCTTCAGCCCCATGTCTGCTGAGGCTTCAGTTGGCAGTCATGCCGCTGACTCCGCCCAGCCCGCCGACTCCCAGCATGCCTTTCCTGACACCGTCGAGCTCAGAAATCGAGGTCTTCTGGGGAGCAAGTACGTCAAATTAAACGTGGGCGGCTCGCTGCATTACACAACCGTCCAGACGTTAAGTAAGGAGGATAGTCTGCTGAGGAGCATCTGCAATGGAAGTACGGAGGTGACCATCGACTCAGAGGGTGAGTGTCAGACTGTGTGTGAGTCCTGAGGGTCTGTGTTGACCCTCCTGAAGCTCCTCCTCGTTGTTACTGTGTTTGTTCTTGTTAGATGTTGAGTTCAAACTTCATTCACTCTAAACAGAAAACTCTCTCTGCTCTCTCAGGTTGGGTTGTTTTGGACCGGTCTGGTCGACATTTTGGACTGGTTCTGAACTTCCTGCGAGACGGGTCGGTACCTCTTCCAGAAGACCACCGAGAATTGGATGAAGTCCTCAAGGAGGCCCAGTACTACCGGGTCCAGGGACTGGTCCAGCACTGCCTCAGTGCCATGCAGGTAAACTGAAGAGGGAGTTTTTAATAGAAATAGAGTTTATAGATATTTGAGGTTTTGAGTTGTTGCCACAACACCAAATAAAAAACAGACCTTATATGTGGTTCAGTCGAAGCTCAGACATAAAAACAGTTTCAGTTATTTTCAGCTGAAGTGACTTTTTTTTAACCTTCAGAAACAGAAAGACGTCTTTGAAAGTGTTTGTCGCATCCCCATGATCACCTCGGCCAAAGAAGAACAGAAGATGATCGCCACTTGTAGAAAGGTAAATCATAGTTTCTCCTCAGAGCTGATCATGTACGCGCCGTTTTCATCTCAACATTGAACTCTTAAAGGAATCTGAAGATTGTGTTTTTTTTAAATATTTATTTGTATAAAGATTTTCCTCTCATGTGACAGAAGGACTGACGTTTGTCTCTGCTCTTGTCTTCACAGCCGGTAGTGAAGCTGCAGAACAACAGAGGGAACAACAAATACTCTTACACCAGGTAAAACTCAGAGGAGGAGGAAAAACTAAATACCTCTAAAATCCATCAGAGTTTGTTTCTCTTCCTCCGATGATGTTGAGTGTTCGTGAATCTTTGCCGTCAGTCACCGCTCCTCTTTGTCTCTCTGTGTGATCAGCAACTCTGACGACAACCTGCTGAAGAACATCGAACTGTTCGACAAACTCGTGCTGCGGTTTAACGGTCGGGTCCTCTTCGTCAAAGACGTGCTGGGCGATGAGATCTGCTGCTGGTCTTTCTACGGCGAAGGACGCAAGATCGCCGAAGTTTGCTGCACTTCCATCGTCTACGCCACCGAGAAGAAGCAGACCAAAGTAAGCATGACCCCCGTGTGAACTCAAGACCCTGAGAGCAGTCGTCCTTAAGATGTAACCTGAGACCACCATGATCTCCTCACTGACATCCAAGTTAGTCGCTTTGCACTCTGGGTGCTGGATAATCATGTGACCAAAGAACGCTGCGCACACACACACACACACACACACACACAGTCAGAGCAGCTGATGGTGTAAATAAACGTGATGTTGAAGTTGAATTTTGACGTCGTTGTTTCCAGGTGGAGTTTCCTGAGGCCCGGATCTTTGAAGAAACCCTCAACATCCTCATTTATGAGAACAACCGAGGATCTGGTCCAGGAGGCTTACACCTGTTAGACTCCAGAGGCTCCGGGTCGTCACTGGGAGCCGGCCAATCAGAGGAGGAGGGCGCTGTGGGAGGCGACAGGCGAGTGAGAAGAATCCATGTGAGGAGGCACATAATGCATGATGAGCGAGGGCACGGCCAGCAGACTGTTTACAAGGACTAATGATGAGAGAAGATGGAGGAGGAGGAGGAGGGACTTCACGTACGTTTGAGATTTTTCAACTTTGGTTTGGATGAAAGAGACGTCTGCGATCGTCGTTTTTGTTTTTAGACGTCAGTGCAGAGATGAGAGAGTCGATGAGTGAAGAGGAAACAAGGCCTCTGTTTACAAGTCAGCGTGTCGTCGTCGTCTAGGTAACCGAAATAGGAAACATGCAAAGCTACCTGGGAAATGAAACTGGCAGAAGTTTGACTTTAACCTTCAGCAGGTTACTGATGTGATGTAAACTCCTCCCCCAAAGGTCGTTTGTATGAAGTGCACTGGTGCCCTCCTCCGTGTCTGACAGGTAGAAGAAACAAAAACACTGAGGTCTGGAGGAAGGTCAGGGTCAGCTGCACTGGAGTAAAAGTGAGCGGAGGATGTTGTTGTTGTTGTTGTCGAGCAGCTGAATTCTCTTTAATTTAAATTATTTCTGCTTCAAGATGTTTTTTATTCATTAATTTATGAACCTAATTTATTGTTTGGTATTTAACGTATTGTTTGTAATTCTTGTGTAAAGCGGTCCTTCAGTGAGTTTGACGTTTCAGATGATGATGATGATGATGATGATGATGATGATGATGATGATGATGATGCACTCTAAAGCACACCTCACCTTTGAGTTTTTACCTGCAGACGAAGTGAAGTTTCATGTTTTCAAGAGGAACTGTGAGCATTTCTGTAACGTCGTGTTTTATTCTGAGCCATCTCCTGATTCTGCTTCGTGTCTTAAAACCAAAACTTTGATTTCTGTTCAGAAGACTCGGCCGTACCCCGATTACAGAGGCAGACGTGTGTTTGTATTTCCCTCAGGGAGAGGAGGAGGAGGAGGAGGAGTGTTTCTGTCTAATATTTAATACCGTCCAATGAAACCTAATCGCCCTGAATGAGGTCAGGATTCCTCTGACAGCATTCTTAATAAAACCACCTTAATCTCCTTTGTATGCACTAATGTACGAGCCGTCCTCTAATGCTCATGGGAAAATTCTGAATAAATCACCTGTGCAATCCCGCTGCGGCGTCCTGTCGTGTTTCAGACGGAGTTACCTGAGTATTCACCAAAGTGCTCACCTGTGTTCAGACTTTCAGAATAAAAGCAGGAATCATGTGGACGTTATCCAGGTCTGAAGAAGAAGACGTGTCATTGTTTTGTTCACCGTCACACGTTTGAATATTTAATTAAACTCAAGACTTTTTTTTATTAAAAGAATTTTTTTGTCCTCAGGTTAATCATTGATGGAAGAAACAGTTCAAATATTGTCAAGTACGGTGGCCGAGAAGCGCCACTGCTGCAATTAAAAAAGAAACGGAATTAAAAAAAAAAGGCACAACAGAAGTTAATGACACAAAAAAAACAAATGGTTATGGGAAAAAAATTTAAAAAAACTTACTGCGAAAATAAAAGGATGCAAATTAATAAAAGCCACGACAGAAGTGAGCTGTCGGGGACCAGTAATGATGATGCACCGGTGTTTTACGATCTAGACACAGAAGACGACGGTGAGAAGATGAACAAAGAAGTAAGTAGAAATTTTTTAACTTGCAGTGGGCTTCAGTCCGTTTTTTGGGGGGGTTTTTTGCATCGGTAACTTCCGTTGTAACTTCTTTTTAATGCGTTCCGTGGCGGTTCTCGGCCTCCGTAGTCAAGGATTCAGACACAGCTGTACTCTTCTTTTTAAAGTAAATTTCTCAAATATAAAAAGTTTTACATCATAATGAAAAGTGAAGTTTAAAGAAGTAAAGACTGTGTCCAAAAATGGTTTTAATACCTACATTATTTCCCGCCTATATGTAGTTAAAATCACAAATTAATATCTGAACATCAAACAAAGGTAAAACCAGATTAAGAGGAGCAGGAAACTTCACAAAATGAACACCTACTTTTCTTAAAATCAAAAATTTTGACTTGGATTTGAAGAATTTAACCCTTTAATGCCTGAAACCACAAATTATATCCAGAAAATTCAAATGATTTTGGAGCTGAATTTTTTATTTCATTTACTCCTGAAAAACAAAAGAATCAAAATTTCCTTCAAATTTAACAAATATATTTATTCTGTTTGATACATTAGATGTTTTTGGAAACTGATAAACTACAAGAGGACATTTATGATTTATATTTTATCTAATTTATTTATGTATTTAATTTTTTTATTATTTATGTGTATTATTTTATTTTATTGACTTGTTTTTATTTATTTATTTTATTTTATTGTGAAGTTCTTTTAAAATATTACATTATTTTGAAAGGACGTCCCAGCTCTGTCGTCACTTCCTCCAAGTTCGGGACGCGTGAGCTCGCGCCAAACGCAGGTTCGAAACGATGTTGTCCGAACAGGAGAAAACGAAGATCCGAAGTTTCGTGAGTGATCAGCTCCGAGGTCAGGAGGACTTAAGGTAAACCAGGTTCGGTTTTTCCTCCTGAACTCTGACCCTGTTCGGGGTTTTTACAGGTTTTAACAGGTTCTGGTTCCGAAAGTGTGTCAGTGGTTCTAGGAACTGTTGTTAACTTCGGTCCAAGTCTGACTTTAGAGAGACAGATCAGCGTTTTACCAGTTTAATGATAATGTTATTAAAAACAAAAACAGGTTTTTTCAGTGACTGTGAGGAAACGACGTGGAGGTGAGTGACTGACAGACAGGGGCGCGTCCAGACTCTTAGACTGGGGGGGCCCAACTGTTTTTGGCATTAAGTATGTGTGCACAAAACAAACAAGAATAAATATTAATTCATTTAACATTTCTGTCTCCACTAAACACGTCCATTTGAGATGCTCAAGATTGAAGTTTCATGTAGAAATAATAATCCTGTGTGTGTTTATTAAATCAACAAAGTAACAGCTGAGAAACAAACACAAACACCCCGAAAACCCTGAACTCTTTAAGGACTTAAAGGTAGATTTTTATCCAAAGTCATGATTTAAAAAACTGAGAAACTGTCAGCGGACGTCTGAACACCATCCTACAGTATTTCTCCACAGGCAGCAGTAGAGGAGGCATACTGTGTTACTATTTTGTGTTTTATATAATGTACAGACTTTTGTATAATCTCTTTATTTTTATTTTATCTCTTTATTTTAACTTATTTTTTTTTACTTTTTCTTTATCTATTTATCTTTACTTTTACTTATTTATTCTATTTATCTCTTTATTTTTACTTATTCTATCTTATTTATTCGTATTTTTACTTATTCTATCTATTTATTTTTATTTTAACTTATTTTTTTACTTTTTCTTTATCTATTTATCTTTACTTTTACTAATTTATTCTATTTATCTCTTTATTTTTACTTATTCTATCTTATTTATTTGTATTTTTACTTATTATTTTTACTTATTCTATCTATTTATTTTTATTTTAATTATTTTTTTTACTTATTTTATCTGTTATTTATCTCCTCTTTCTACTTTATTTGCACTTGAGTCACTGTAAAGAAAATCAGTTTCCCCCTGTGGATCATAAAAGTATCTCTGACTCTGATTCAAGAACGTGGTTTTAACTTCTGTCCGTCTTCCTTCAGCTCACTGACTCTGGGGATCCTGAAGAAACGATATCTGCTGAACACGAACCGAGACTCTTTGTCTTCAGAGGTCAAAAGTTTCATGAAACACGTGGTGGGGGAGGAGCTGATGAAAATGGAGGTTTGTGAATTCTCTCTTCACACATGAGAGATTTCTCTGCGGATTTCTGGACAGATTCGTTAGTTTTAACCGTCATTAACATGAGTTTCTTTTTTTCATGTAAGGAGAGCGACGATAAAAGTGAAGAGGAGGAGAGAGAGAGGCCTCGAAACAAGAGGAAAAGAGAAGAAGAAGAAGAAGAAGAGGGCAGCGGCGAGGAGATGAGCGGGAGAAAAGCTGAAACTGGATCCAGAGCGAAAAAACTCCACAGAGAGCCAGACTCGTCCTCGGGTGAATAAAAGTCTTTTATTCTGATTTTAGATGAGAGTAAATGAACTCCTCTGTGAGATCTGAAGCTTCAGCTGTAAATACGGGTTTATTAGGCTGATTATCCTGCTCTGTGAAACTTTAGTTCAGGATTTAGAAACTCTCACAGGAGGCTAAAATCTCAGCAGCTGAGTGATCCAACAAACCGGAGACAAAAGGAGTCGAGGAAACTTCATTTTATACATTTATACTTTAGTTCTCAGTCAAAGTTTTCTGCAGGTTATTGATGAAGTTTATCTTCATGAGCGACAAACCAAAGAAAACCTCGTCTGAGTCTGAGTCCACCTGTTATTCAGAGTAAACCATGTTCGCTCGGTCAGTGAAGGGAGCTGTAACATCGGGTCAGAACCGGTGTCAGCTTCACCGAATCTGTGTGTGGCGTCTGTTCTCCTTCAACAAAAAGGGCGCCGAGGTTCTCTTGGATCTGAGGCTGTGAAAAAAGAGAAACGATGAAATGAGGTTCAAACACGACGAGTGGAAAACGATTAAAACGGTGAACAGAAAATTATCAGAGCTTACAAAAACCAACCGTCTGATTATACATGATACATCCCAAAACCACACCCCTCAGTGACCACACCCCTCAGTGACCATCCTATAGGAATCACATCCTAAACAAATGTACTTTGGCTCCGACACTCTGATCTCCTAAAGGAAGTTTCTCCTGTCCTTCATGACCGAATCAGGTGATAAAAAGAACCGCAGAGCCGAGAGGGAAGAGAAGGAGGATCCTGGATCTGATCCTGAGGAAGAGGAGGAGGAGGAGGAGGTGAAGAAATCAGAGGAGAAGGTCAACGGGAGCGGCGAACCTCCGAGCGACTCTTCAGAAGAAGAAATGAACGAGTCAGAGAGAAAAAAAGAGAGTGAGAGTGAAGAGAGTGACCGCTCTGAAGAAACGGAGGGAAAGAAAGAAAACACGTCCGAGAAAAGAAAGACAGGAAGACGAGAGGAAGAGGAGGAGGAGGAGGAGGAGTCAGACAGCGAGTCTGAGGAGAGTAAGGATGATAGAAAAACAAAGATTAACGACAAAGACGATCAACGTTCGAGTTCATCTGAGTTTGTCTGTTTCTCAGAGCGTCCAGCTCCTGAGGAGAAGAAGAACCAGAACTCCGAGTCTTCATCACTGTCCTCATCATCATCATCAGGAGGAGGAGGAGAAAGGAAACAAGGAAGACGACAAGAAGAGGAAGGAAAGGAAGAAAGAGAAGGACACCAGAGGTCAGAGGGTAAGTTCATTAACGAGGATTTTTCTGCTCATTTTTAATTCGATTGGTCACGTGACTAAAATACAGGAAAAATAAAGAAGTAGAAATATGAGCAGAAGATAAACTTCTCCTCTCAGAGCCGTGGAGCTTCAGGAGGAATTAAAACAACTTTATTTTTATTTTATCAAGAAGCTGAAAAAGTTTGTTTTAAAGAAGTTCACGAGGATCATTTTCATTTTCATCCCCGACTATATTTTAGTTTTGAGACTCAAAAGTGAGAAACGAGGAGCTGCGATCAGGATGAATTTTAACCTTTGACCTTTTTTGTCCTCCTGAAGGATCAGCAGAAAACGCTGACTCGGCTCAAACGTTACATCGCTCTGTGCGGCGTGCGGCTGAACTACAAGAAGCTGCTGGACGGCGTCGTCTCTGTTCGCTCACAGGTGGCTGTTCTGAAAAAGGAGCTGGAGAAACTCGGCGTTCACGGTCCGATTTTTCTCTTTAAACTTTAGTTGGATGAGTTTTTTTACGCTCTCTCTCTGTTTTCAGTCTTTTCAGCAAATTTAAAAAGTTAGTTTCTCTTATTTCACAGTCGACTCGGTCGTATTAAACTCTGTCGACTGTGTGGTTAATTAAAATGAAACCTTCTTTGATTCCCTGCAGGCAGACCGACTGTCGCCAAATGTAAAAAAGTTCGACTTGTGAGAGAAGAAGCTCAGGAGCTCGCCGAGCTCGACACGAAAAACATCATCACCACCGAAGGTAAAACGCTCTTTTTTCATCGTCACTGTTTTCTGACACTTTTCTTTGTCGGTGGAGAAACTCTCATTGAGTAACTTTAGATATTATATTTAAAAAAAACAGGTTAAATATTAAAGTGTCTGAACTTGTCCTGAGACGAAACACTCTTCTACTGTAAATCAGAAACAAACTAACAGCAGCTGCTCTTAAGATTTCAGGACAAAATCAATTATCTGATCAAATATTAGATTCCTGTTTGTTGTACATTCATGTAATCAATAATGACACGTCTTCAGTGATTGATCAGGCCTGATGTACTGATTTGAAATCATTTGAATCTTTTCTTTCAGTTTCCTGTGATCTCGGTTCAGTTTTTCAAACAGACGTCTTTCTTCTCTCCTTGTTATTCTAATAAAAAACTGATCCGTCTCTCTGAGCAGGTTTCAGGGACCGTCTCTGTCACTCAGTAAAACCGATTTATCGTCTTACTCCGATTGAGACCGGACAACTGAAGTGCATGTGAACACCTTAAGCTCCTTTCACACCAGGACCATTTTTGTTGTGCAATTATTTCAGACGTCAGTATTTTTTTTCGAACCCGTATCCTGTCAATACAAGAGTGTAACGACCTTCAGTCCGACTATAATCAGAGTTTAAGAACTCCGATTAAGACACCCAGATAATGTGATTGGAATTCGATTTTCTCTTCCATGTAACCAGCGTAGTCGGAGTATGATTGGACAATGCATGTGTGAGTGCTCCACGCCCCCAGAGTAGAGGAGTAGCGTTGGTCTCATCTTTAGAAAAAGTAGCGCGTCCATCATGTCGGACAAAAACAACGCTGTACGATGCTCCATCTTCTTGTTTCTCCAAAATGCCCAGCAGCAGTTGTAGACACTTCTGACGTCTGACACCGACCTGCTGTTGTTGGTGACGGTTGGATGGGGTCGGAAACAGCGCCGCTGAAAAGACCCATATCGCCCCTTAGTGTTGGGGAGGAGGACACGTTCACGTCAATAATTCAGTTTTCTCAGCTGGATGTAAACGAGGACGAGGAGAGAAGTCTGATTCAGAGGAAAAGACGAATTGCGAGTTTATTCCGATTAAACGGAGAATTTAAACGTCCTGACTTTTAGAGCCTTTTACACCTCACAAGACCCCGCCTTAAACTGTCAGTATGAGCATTGTGATTGGCCGGCTCTCTGTATCATAGAGGCGTTCTTGTCTAACTTGAGCCTAATATGAGGTTTGACCATATAAGGAGTTCCTCAACGTTGTCATGTCGTAAAAATGTCTATAGTAGGAAAAACAGAGATAAGTTTGGAACGGCGTGTTACCCTTTGAGCTCCAGACAGTAAAACATGTTTACGCTCAGAAACAGACGCCATAAAAAGATTTCCAGTCCAGGTTTTTGGACTTTAAAAAAGTCTGAAGGCGTCTGTCCGTCTCCAACATAACCACCTGTGGGCGTGGCTTTCTGTCTCAGGTCGACCCAAACGCAGAGGTGCGTGGCAGAAAGCAGAGAGCCCGCCGGCCTCTCCGCACGTGCGCGCTCTAAACTCCAGCTCTGATAGCGATGAGGAGAAGAGTAAACGAGGGGAGGGCCGGCGAGCGAGGGACTGGGCCAACCTGAAGGGGATCATCAGTGACGACGCCGACGACAGTGACTGACAGGGAGGAGGAGGAGGAGGAGGAGGAGGAGGAAGAGGAGGAGGGGGTTTGTCCTGTTGTGGAGTCACTTTTATAACACAAATGTTGATATTATTGTTCAGTTGTTTGTACATTTATTGTATCGCAGACATTTCCTCTGATGTCAGAAAAAGTTATTTTTATAAGTTTGTATTTTTGTGTATTTTTATGTTTAATAAAAGTTGTTTTTAAGCTGCATCATTTTTATCAGCAGATGTAAAGACTGAAGGATGTGAGGGTTCGATATCACAGCATGATGGTTTTTAATTTAATATACAGAAGAAATAAATAAGAATAAAAACTCAGAGTAAAAACGCAGCATGGTGAGTGATAGTGGAATAAAAACCAAATAAATAAAGGTGGATATAAAGAGATATATGTTCTTAATAATAAAAAGTAAAAACACAAACACCAAAAAACCATCTTTATGTAGTTTATATTAATGTAATGTTCTGATTATCGAACCTGCAGGTTATTGAACACCAACCAAAGCGAAGGTCAGCTGACGATCAGTCCGTCTCTGATCATAAAAACAGATTTTATTCATTTTGTTTGTTTAACAGGTTAAGATAGAAGCTTCTCTAATAACAGATAATAAGACTCTTGATGATATACAGCAATGGCATATCTTTATCATTATTATTATTATTGTTAATAAGCAAATCTAATTTTATCTTGCCATTAAAACATTATGATATCCAGTTTAACTAAATATAAAGTACTACTCCTACATGTCTGTTTGTTTTTTTAATAATTATCTTCATTTATTTACTGTTTTTTGTGCTGGTGATTCTTTTTTAAATTGATGAAGTTATCGTTGGCTGTGAATATCTACTGAAGTCTCGAGTTTTAAAGATGCTCCTCTGATATTTTTCATCTCTCATGTTAATGATTTGAACAGAATTTGGGGTAAACTAACTCTAATAGTAAAATAAATGACTGATCGATGTTTGCTGATATTTTTAAACTAATAATTAACTTAAAACAAACTTTTATAGTTTTGACACTTTTCTGTCTTTAAATAAAAACCAAACAAATGAGTGAATTATGATCTAATAATGAAGTGTACCTCTGCAAACCTGTCCGTCAGTGAGGTTGTTTATTGTATTGAAATAAAACCAAGTTCTCATTGACGGAAATTAAAGGTCAATAAACTCTTTTCGGTGTTTTCTGGAAATAACGGTTTCGGTAACTTCATCCCGGAACTCACGTTGTAGTTCCGTGTGTGTCCGGAACATTTCTCAGACGGACCGGTCCGACAGGATATGTCTCCGCATGTTGTGCATCTCTGCAGGTCAGTCAGTTTCTGATTCTTGTTGTTTTTCCACGATCACGAAGATTCTGCGAGTTTTTACAGAGCGAGTGTTTTTGTTTCCTGCAGCAGTAATTCACCGTCCTGTGTCCGCTCTTAATTTATCATTTTATCATTAATAACATTTTTAAAAAATATTTAAATACATGTGACCCTCAACCTTCTTCTTATTTTATTTCTGTTTTTGGTTTAAAGGAACAAAATTAAAGTTTATTTCGTTTGTTCTGATTTAATGAAACACGAAAATTAGTTTAAGGTTCAATCAGAAACAAACAGACTGATAATTATCATCATTGTTATTATTATTATTATTATTATTATTGTTGTTGGAAAATGAGGATTATAATTCAAAAACAACATCTGTTTGATCAGCTGTTTTTACGGTCCTCTCTGAAGCAGCAGGTCTGTCTTTAAGAGTAGGGCTGGGCGATATCAGAGAAAGTTTATCAGGATATATTTTCTTCATATCAGCTGATATCGATCAATATCAGGATATAAAACTGTAACAGTGTTTATTGGTCTCATGTCTTTTCCAACACAATAATCTCCTGCGTCTGTGAGGTCTTTGTGTCTCTTTGACTTGAATACCGACCAAAGTCTGTATTTCTGGTTGTTTCCTGTTTGTTGTTGTTTCTCATAAATATCATCGTTTTATCGCCCAGCTCTACCTGTAAGTTTTGGTTTATCTCTGTACTAACACACAAACACACGCAGAGACCCTGAAGTCCAGGTTTCTTGCAGACATGGATGATGGAACCCCTGATGAGGTCTTTGCTGATCTGAAGCCGAAGAATCTGGGAGGATGGGGGGTCGCTCAGATCGCCGCTGGGACTGGACTCGCAGTTTATGCCATGTGGGTGGGAATCCTCCAGCCGGGTTTCCGTAAAGTCCCACTGAGACTTCAGGTATGGTCCACACCTTCACCGTCTGCAGAGTCGTGGTTTCAGTTTTAATCTGACTGCGTGTTTGTCGTCACTCTCTGGTTTCATGTCTCTGTCTTCAGCTGTTTTGTGTCATGAAGGTGCAAATACCTGAAAAATAAATTCAAACTGTTACAGATTAAAATGTCTTTACGATTTTGCTGAAGGTCCCGTACATCCCTGCCAGCAAAGCTCAAGTAGAAAACGTCATGATGCTGCTGAGAGGTCGAGCGGGGGGTCTTACAGATCTGGGGTCCGGTGATGGTCGTATCGTGAGTATCAGCAGGATGATGGCGCTCTTCTGTCCGTCTCTGATGAGGATCCGGTTCTTCATGGTTTTCTTCTCTCCTCAGGTCCTGACGGCCCATCAGCGCGGCTTCACGCCTGCTGTCGGCTATGAGCTCAACCCCTGGCTTGTCCGCCTGGCTCGCTATCATGCGTGGAGAGCAGGGCATCTTGGGAAAGTTTCTTACCTGCGGGAAGATCTTTGGAAGGTTTGACTTTCTTTACTGATGTTACAGTCGATACAGACTGAAGAGGCTCCGGTCTGAGATCTCTGTCCGTCTTTCTCTCACTGAGGTTTTATCTCTCCTTTCTTTATTCCTCCGTTTTTCATCGCAGGTCAACTTGACTGAATGCAAGAATGTCACCGTGTTTTTGGCTCCGAGTGTGGTGAGTAAGATAACGAACAGACGATCTGTACATTTAGTAATTCCTCCTGTTTAAGCCATGAAACTAAGAACTACAACCATAATCAGATTGTTAGATTTGAGAGGCGAACACAGTTAGTCTGAGCTGCGGCTGCGTTCCTCTAAATAATCCTGGTTTGACTTTCAGGAGATTTATGTAAAAAAATGTATTTATTAAAGAATCTTGTCTTTTCTTCGTAGCTGTCGTTGTTGCAGGAGAAGCTGCTGGCGGAGCTTCCTGACGACGCCTTAGTGGTTGCTGGTCGTTTTCCCTTCCCTGATTGGACGCCCAGCAGGACTGAGGGACAGGGCGTGGACAGAGCCTGGGCGTACAGTATGAAGGAACTGAGAGGCTGCTCACAGAAGAATGATGAGTAAAGTAAACTAACTAACCGAGGAGAAACATCTACTTGAATGTTCCCACTCCAGTTTTAATCTCTGTCTCTTATTTATTTATTCCTCCGGGTGTTTTGAAGAAGCCGTTTGAAGATAACTCGCTCCAGTGTCGGGGTGTTTGTTTTAAAATGACAGTCAGAGCACTTTTAGACTTTTTACCTCCGACCTCATGTTCACTAACCAAACATTTATCTCCACTCCTGTTACAGTGATCAGCAAACCCACAGATATTTATATTCATTTCTAAACAGTGTTGTTCCAGAAGTAAAACTAAAGGTCTGTGTTCTCAGTGAGCTTCAACAATAATGACGTTTTTAAAAACCTCACACAGTGTTACACTAAAAAACTAAATGTCTCCTCATAGAAGTAAACACACAGAAACAGCTGTCTCATCTGTGTGTGTTTGCTGTTACCTTTTCTCTCAAATCTTTAAATAAATATGAAGTTTCATTTACTGTCATATTCTGATTCAGTAATGTTTGTGTACTTGTACTTTTTAGATACTTTTAAAAATAAGTTTTCTTTCTCTTGCTGAAGTAAAATCTATTGAAAGCAGTTTTTCACCACATTTTACATCAAATCAGTTACAGAGCGAAAAAAAACCTCAAACTGAAATCTGAGTTAAAATACTGCAAACCAAAGTTTGTGTCATGAGTGCCTTGTTAACGTACATACTCGGGCTTGTCTGAAGGTTTTTTTCTTCTACATAATATATTTTATTTAAAGTAACTGAGCTTCAAGCTTTTATTTGAGTAGAAAAGTTAAGAAACCTTCTCTGAAGTTTATCAGATTAGATTCATTTTAACTTTTTATCATTGTGTTTAATTTTATCTGAAGGTCTCTTGGATACTGAAGTTGTTCGGTTGGTTTCAGGATGAGTTTGACAGACATCAGAGGACCTGTTTGACTTTTACTTTGTTTTCTGTTGTTTGACTTTTGTCTAATTCTGTGAATTTACAGGAAAAGTCCCTGAAATGTCTTCATTTTAACTACATTGAGTTATTGCATGTATTATTCAGGTCTATGAAGTTGTTTGCTGCTCCTCCACCCTTGTCTTGATTTGACTGATTCTGTTGTTTTATCACAGTTTTCTTCAAACACACTTGTCTAATAAACCGTGTGTACTCTGAAAGCTCCTTCCGGTGTGTGTGTGCTTTCTAACTTGACTCAGGTTTGTGTGGTTAGTGGATTTCTGCATAGATATCTAAAGGAAAGCCTAGATGACTCTATGAGGCGGAGTCACCGACGTCCCTACTCAGCGGCCATCTTACTCCAGTATATCATTCTGGTACTCTATGGTGAGTAATCTGCATGATCGAAAATACTCTTAACTCTCTAAAATCTTGACAGATTTATAAATGGTTTAGTTTATTACAGACCTTAATAACGTGGCTCTGAGTCTGGATGTTTGGATATATTAAAATGTCAGATTTACTTTGAGAAGAAAAAAAAAGACTTAATCATGTGACCTCAGATAACTGTTCTGTCTCTGTTTTGTTTTCTATGTCACCTAACAGTGTCTTATTTCTGTTCCTTTAGTATCTTCTTGTTGACTGTTTTTTCCTTAATTCTGTTTCATGAGTGACTTCCACGCTGTATGGATGATCTCTGTATGTGTCTGTCACTGTGCTTCCATTCTGAATGTGTTTTTTCCTTGATCTGCCAGGGACCACAGATTAGCCGTTGGCTAAATCTGGCATACTTACATTTTTATGTTCACATTGTCCCTTTTAAATAAATAAGTGAAAAAGGATAAAAATGAAATGAAACTCAGTTAGGCCTTCAGAGCCTTCAGTGACTGGAGTCACAAAAACTGTCTCCTCCTCAACACCTCAGGGACAAAGGTGATGGTCATAGACTTCTGTAGATCCAACCCTCCTCTTCTTTTGTACCAGCAGCCATCAGGCTTTATAACTCTTGTGTTAATAATAGATAACTTTTAGAGACATATTATGTGAGACAACAGACAGTTGAATTTACCTTTGGGGATTAATAAAGTTATTCTTATTCTTATTCTTTAGAATAAATGACTTCATGTGATCATAGTAATCAGTCTTATTGATAACATGTATAGCTCGTTTTTGCTGTTTTGTTATTGAATTTATAGTGGGTTTTAAAGGCGGATCCCCTGTGTTCCACAAAGTAAGATATAAAGGGACTAATCAATGAGTAGTGTTACAAATCAAACTGTTTGAAAATTAGTTTAAAATCATTCAGTCTATGGTTAATTAAATGTAACATGCACCGTAGACTGGAACGTTAGGAGTGGGCGAGCTGCAGACGGTAGTTCTTCTGTCTTAGCCTCTCAGTCTGATTGTATTTCCATGAAGAAATGATCATAAATGTTCTTCCTTGAGCTGCGTCACCCCGCTGTAGTCCGTAATGGACTGGCCTGAGGTCTCACTACAATCTAGGGTTATTTAAATGCGACATGCACCGTAGACTGGAATGTTAGGAGTGGAAGGGTTGCCCGTACCAAGATGGCCGCCATGCGCGGTAGTCGGTCTCCATTGGCTAACAGCGTGTTTAAGCCATCTAGCGTTTAAATATATATCTATGTATTTCTGCAGCACAAGAGGAAGTTGCGAAGCAGCAGACCGTGTTACTAGCAGCAGGCTAGCTGTCCTCCTGAGCCGCCCTGAACACTGAAAAGGGGAATAACAAGAGCGAGCGCGGAGAGTTCCGTTTCGGCGTTAGCTAAAAGTCTCCGGATTCAGAATCTAGGCGTGCATGTCAGCCCGCTTCAGAAGGTGTTGTTGGTATAGAGAGGTTGTCGTGACTAAAGAGCCGCAGAAACATGTCTCCTTCTGACAGCTAACGTTAGCCGCTCTGCCTTCCTCCTTCTAGAAAAGCTAACGAGCTGCTGCTGCTGCTGCTGCTGCTAACTAACAAACCCTGCTGCTGCTGCTGTTAGCGGCTCCTTTAGCCTCGACATGCAGCTCATATAAAAGCTCATTAACGGGCACACTCCTCCGCTGGAGACGGTGCAAAAACGGGGTTTATTCTCTTATATTTAACCCAACTGTTAAAATAAACATGCGACAACAGTTAAGGCTACCAACTGGAGATAACTGATTTAATATTGAGGTTTGACCCTCGACGGTTCGAGTCTGCTGAGATAAACTCGGTGATAATAGAGGGTTAGTCACTGAGACCTGACCCGGTTCTGGTTAGCTGGACTCAGAGTTCGGACCTGCAGACCAGGATGAACCCTCCACAGTCTGCTAACTGAGAAGAAGCTAATGTTGGTTTTTGACTCTGAACGAGACGAAGAAAACTGAGGAAAACATCAACATGGTGAGTCTAAAACATCCTCTACCTGAGGAGGTGTTCCTGTCCTATCTCTGGGTGGGTTCGTGTTTGACTACAGGATAAATCTGAATTATAACAGTTTAATGTTCTTTATTTCTCTGTGCTCGGTCCTGAGTATAACGGTTCTGTATGTAGACCGGTTTGTGTCGGATGTGACAGTCTTCTCCTCCGTGTTTGACGCCCATCTTTGCTCACCGAATATTTCCTCCTTCAGCCTCGGCAAGTTGTGGCTTATTTGAGGAATTCAGGCCCGCCTGCCACAGGAACTGCTCTTTAAAATCTCCATTTGCCATCTTGTCTGAACTCGGCAGGGCCCTGACTTCCTCTACCTGTCGGCCTGTGGTATTACAGTTACGACATGATGTCAGAAAAGGAGTAATTTAATTATCTTTAAGTGTTGAATCAGGATCTACTGCTGGTCATGTGTGAAGGTGAACAACAGACCTCCATGATATCATGACCAACAGTCAGTCAGTGCAGGTGTGGACATGAGAAAATGAGCCCTGACAGAACCTCAACTGCAAACACCTGAGGGGTTGACAGGAATGTTAAAGGGATATTCTGACATAAAATTAATTTAGGGTCAAACCCACCGTAACACCGAGTTAGACCCCCCCTCCAGAGATGAATGTTGACGACCGCTTCCTTCTCTAGTTATACCAACTTTAGTAACAATCGCAGGATAGAAATACAGAGAGCCACGCCCCCAACCAAAACGCCACTCCATAACCACAAATAATGCTCAGAACAGCACCTAACTTCATCAACAGGACATATAGGGTCTATAGCGACTATCCTGCCCTCCTGTAATCACTCGTCCATGGGAGTAGGAGACTGTTTTTGACGCGCTCTTACAAACAACTGTCCACATGATGATCCGTGTTCGTGTTCCCACCTAATGATCGTCAATTCACACCAAAATAAAAAGATTAAACTGATGCAAAAGAACTGATAATGTAACGAGGTGATGCTGCTGGAAAACAAAAAAGGTGAGGTGAGTGAGCTGTAAAACCGCATGACCTTCCACCCCGTGTGTCACCTGGTTACCTGCCCCCTGTGCCTATATAGCAAACGCTGCACTGCCACCAGTGGAGAGCTGATGTAACTCATGACGGACAGACAAACAGATGTGGCTCATATAGGGTCCCAGCCATAGTACTAGACACCAAACATCTTTTTAACTTTGACTCATTTCTTTAGCAAAGAGACTAAACACAACTCACCTACTCTCTTCCAGCAGACGCTTGTTTGTAGTGAGACCTCAGGCCAGTCCATTATGGACGACAGCGGGGTGCCGTAGCTCAAGGAAGAACATTTATGATCATTACTTTATCAGTCAATCAATCTGGTGCCATTTTTACACTGTTGGTGGTCAAGAGTAAAAAATCTGATGACTAAAACCTTTTGTCCAGTAAAATGCAAAAAGATAACAGTAATCGTTTGATCAAGGCACAAAGTAATGAAAGCGATCAGAACCTTTTAGAACCGGATAAAAGCCGCAGCTTGCGGGAACTTGCACCCTTGCTCTCTGCTACAGATAAAACAAAATAAAAAAAACAAATCCATGGTAAAAGTTCAACTTAAAAGTCAGCAAACTCTTAAAATTCAGACTTAAAAGTTGTTTAAAAGCGGTTAAAATGGGTTAAAAAGTTGCTCACAACAGAGAGAAATGGCGCATTCACACTTTAACGGGGACTACAGTGGGGTGCCGCAGCTCAAGGAAGAACATTTATGATCATTTCTTCATCATTTCCTTGAAGTAATAATCACCATATTAATCATTTTACAGACGCGGTAGTTCTTCTGTCTTAGCGTCTCGGTCTGATTGTATTTCCATGAAGAAATTATTGGCTATAGAGTGGCGTTTTGGTTGGGGGCGTGGCTCTCTGTATTACTATCCTGCGGTTGTTACTAAAGTTGGTATAACTAGAGAAGCAAGCGGTCGACAACATTCATCTCTTGAGGGGGGGGTCTAACTCGGTGTAACGGTGTGTTTGACCCTCACTTAGTTTTACGCCGGAATATCCCTTTAAAATCCTCTCGTTACTCAGATGTGGGAGAAGATTCAGGATCTTTCTGCAGATTGAGGATCCTTAAAACAGGCGGATCATTGGTCTGCTGTGTGTGCAAACATGACATTTTTACCAACGTGGTTATTCAGTCGTTTGGATCTGGTCGTCATGGTTGCATAAATAATCACTCTCTCAAAGGTTTGACTTTGTGCACTGTTCAAACCGTCACTCTGTCCTTAACCTCGCCATGTGTCGTCCTCAAGGCTTCAGAGGAGGCATCACTGCGGGCGCTGGAGAGCCTGATGACGGAGTTCTTTCACAGCTGCACCACCAATGAGCGAAAAAGAGAAATTGGTGAGTTTTCCGAACATTAAAAGGCTTTACCTCGTCTATTTTATCAAACTCTGTGAGCCGTTCACTGACACTTTAAAGTGTTGCTTTATCCGTCGCTGCAGAGTTTCATTTTGACCTTTTCTTTTTCTCGTTGGAGGTTTTCTTTTTTTTCTTTTGCTGCCTTTTTGGTTCATTTCCTGTGTTGTGACGCATTTCTCTCTCAGTCTATCTGAAGTGTGGTCCTACATTGACATGTATATCTGCCTACTTCCTTTTCTCTGCAGAGGAGCTGTTGAATAACTTTGCTCAGCAAACTGGAGCATGGCGCCATTGCCTCTTCTTCCTCTCCAATACTCGAAATGAGTATGTGATGATGTACAGCCTCACAGTATTTGAAGTAAGTCATGGTTTGACTTCAGTGCAGGTCTTTTTGTTTTACCTGTCAGTCTGTGAAAACAAAGACAGACCTGATAGTAGGTCCTAAGATAATAAAAACGTGTTTCTCATTTATTCATTTACATCGTTTTGAATGACCTCCACTGAACAGACAGTTGAACGTCTTGAACCAAAATAAACTCGTTGTTTTACTGTAAATGTCAAGTAGAAATGTGTGTTTTTAAATCATTTAGTTATAATTGATCTTTGAAAATACTCGTCCGTATATATTTACAGTTTCCTTCAGACGAATCAACGGCTGAATTTTCTCTTTTCAGAATTTGGTGAATAAAATGTGGATCGGTGTCGCTTCACAAGACAAGATGGAGATCCGCAGCTGTCTGCCTAAACTGCTGCTCGCTCAGCACAAAACCGTGCCCTACTTCATCCGAAACAAACTCTGTAAAGTCATCGTGGACATCGGGCGTCAGGATTGGCCAATGTTCTACCACGATTTCTTCACCAACACTCTCCAGGTCAGCCGTGCTAACGCCGTTCTCGCTGTAATATTTAGGGTTAATCATCGTTTGCTCGGAGGGTGTGTCTAGAAATAGTCACAGAAGGTTTGAATAAACTTTGACCCCAAATCTTTAAAGTGCAACCAATGAGATAACGATCTCATGTGAGGCAGACAGGTACAAACCATGACAGAAGGAGAGGAATGAAAGAGACCCCTGTGTGTTTTAGAGACGGCTTTAAGTCACGTCACGGTCTGCAGGACACGTCTGTGGTCAACAGACTGTGGGTGAAAGTGAGTGAAAATGCTCCGAGCTCAGAGTCAGCTGAGAAAAGTCTGAGGTTGTTTTATGAATTATTACATTTTGTTTTAAAGACATTTTGGCATTTTAGAAACTGGTGTCTGAAGAAGAGGAGCAGAGATGTGAAGGACTGAATCTTGACAGATCAGGGTGGATTTGGACTCATTTCATCTGTATTTGGACTTTTCAGTCAAAGTTATTATTTAATATCACGTCTGTATAACAAAGTTTATGATGACGGTCCAGTTATTGGAGAGATGGTCCGTGTCCATGAACCCCTCAGAGACCTTAACTTTCAGCAGAGGGTGTCTCACATCAGCTTTTGGTCTTCTATGTTGTAAAATTATCTGTTATTATTATTATTATTATTATTATTATTATTATTATTATTATTATTATTATTATTATTATGATCATAATAATTATAATAATAATAATAATAACTATTAACACTATTATAATGATAATAGTAATAACGATTATTATAATAATAATAATTATTATTATTATAATGATAATATAATTATAATTATAATTATTATTTTAATGATAATATAATAATAATAATAATAATAATAATAATAATAATCATTATGATCATTATTATTATTCATTATCATTATTGTTATTATTAGTGTTTATTTTATGAAGAATAATTATTCTTATTAATAACTATTATTCATTAATATGCATTATTTATAATTATCATTATTACAATGATAATAATAAGTATTATTTATTATTATTAATATTAATAATGACAATAATAATCATAATAATAATAATATTATTACTACTGCTACTATTGTCAGTCGTAGTAGTAGTTGTGATGTAGTAATAATAATAATAAATTAATTAATCAATACCGTTGTCTGTGGACTTGTTTGTGACCCTCAGCTGATCCAGTCTCAAGCTCTGGCTCCTCTCGGGTTGGTGATGCTGAAAACCACATCAGAGGAACTGGCGTGTCCCCGAGAAGACCTGTGTGTGGCGAGAAAAGAGGAGCTGCGTAAACTGCTGATGGAGCAGGTCCCCACCATACTGGGACTGTTGACAGGTGAGACATCCTTTCAGATCATCACCTGTGAGTTTTTAAAAGTGGTAGAGGTTCGATTTGAGATGCTCTTATCTAGTAATTACGGTATCATGCTGTGAGTAAATAATGATTTTAAAGATGAGGTTAGAGTCAGAGCCGTCATCATGGATGTTCTCAGCAGGACTCTGTCGTTGTCTCACAGGTATACTGGAGACCTACTGGGACAAGCACAGCGTCATAGCCTCCACCCCCCCGCCCTCACCCACTTCAGGAGAAAGTAGTGAGTGAATATTTGAGTGAAACTGTGAAGATCAGTGAAGTAGATGTGATCAGAGCGAAGCGTTGACCTCTATGTTGTTGTTTTTGTGTCCACAGTGGAACTGCTGGGTAATTTGTTTCAGGGCAGTCAGTACTCTAAGCTGCTCTGCCAGCCCATGGCCGCTCTGGACACTGAGAGTCAGCAGCTCTGTTGTCTGGTTCTGGAGTGTTTGGCTCACCTGTTCAGCTGGATCCCTCTGTCCACCAGCATCACACCCACACTGCTGGCATCCATTTTCCACTTTGCACGTTTTGGTTGTGATCTCCGGACGAAGGCAAAGACCGGATCCTTCATCTCCTCCAACTCCTCCTCCTCTAACGGGCAACTTAACCCCGGGACAGGTCAGCCCACATCCAACGGCGGAGGGCGGACGGGTCAGCAGAGTGAGAGCAGTAAAGTGGACCGCGCCCGCCTCGGGGTTCTGGCTATGACCTGCATTAATGAGCTGGTGTCTAAAAACTGTGTGCCCATGGATTTTGAGGAGTACCTGCTGCGGATGTTCCAGCAGACCTTCTTCCTCCTGCAGAGGCTGACCCGAGAAAATAACGCTCATACAGTCAAGAGCCGCTTACAGGAACTAGACGAGAGGTACGGCTCAGTGCGCCCGCCTTCATTTTCACTGAGGGGTAGGGCTGTCCCGACACTATTTTTTCACTTCTGATATTGCAGCCTTAAATATCGGCCGATACCAATATCAATCCGATATCAGTACGCCACGAGTGATAGATACTTTCATGACTTATTTTGTAGTGTGGAATTTTAGAGAAGGCTGCATCAAGTGATACGACTCAAACAGAGAACAATAATCAGCGACAGTAGTTTGGGAAAACGGACTCATTTATTATTAACAAAACAAATAGAAGAATAAATAAAAATAAATTGTGAGGTCTTGAATAATAGATAATAGAACGTAAACAAAATAAAAATATCACTCTGATAACAGGAGCAGAAAAGTATCAGTCAGTCAACTAAACTCTTGACTACCTTTACTACTCCTCCATCTCCACTTTCTGCAGTCCAAGCGTGATGGGGCTTGGGCTCCATATGTCGGTGGTAAAGCTAACAGCATTTGCTTTCTCCTCACTCCTCACAATACACTTTTTAACTTCTTTCTGCATCTGAGGTAAAGTTTTGTTGACAATGTAGTGACGGTGAGGGATAAGACAACGTGGCTCGAGGTGCCCAATCAAGCGTTGAAACCCGACTTTACTCAAGTACAATAAATTGAGCGATCTTTTCTGTTATCCACCTTATTCCGACTTTGTTGACAAATGACGGCACTAATAACGAGTGTATCTGTGGGGATAGGACATCAGCAGGTATCACCACCCCATTCAACTTCCATGAACCCCACTACTTCCCACCTAAAACCACATCACTTATGCACTTCTCGTAGAACATACGCTGTTGTTGTTGTTGTGATTACCTGAGTTACCTGGCAGCACCAGCGTTGTTTTATTATCGCCACCTACAGTGTTGGAGTCTGAACCACCGTCACCTCATATAGTGCAGACGCGCTGGAGCAGAATGAGCTGCTTTTATCGGAGCGTTTATATCGGACATTTTAGATGCAGTCCGATATAATCTGATTTTCTTTTTTTGCTAATATCGGACAGATATCTGGTATCAATATCGGATCAGGACAGCCCAACTGAGGGGGGTTGGAGGTTCGACCCCGCCTCGTTTATGTCAGCTGTCGTCCTTTAGTTAACTCCTCTTCCTCTCAGGCTGGAGCTGCTCCAGGGTTTTGTTTATGAGGCCGTCTCAGTCAAACGTTGTTTTTGTTTCTGCTGCTCTGTAAACCTCAGCTGGGTCACATGATTTCCATGAACTCCTCTCTCTGAATCTCTGCAGATAAACCTCACTAAGATTTTACACTCTCTGAGAACACACTCTTGTTTTATCCTTTATGTCAAATTAAGATTTCTGAGGTTTCATGTGTTTTTTTATTTTCCAACTCGGCTTCTTCTCAGACTTAAAAAAAGGTGAAATTTAGAGACTCGGATGTTTGTTTTTGTGGAAGGATCCTTCGGTACATGAACCTGCTCTCCTCCTCCTCTGTGACGTCTACATCATTTTTATCTGAGTTTGATATTTTCACGTCTTCAGTTTTTTACTTATTTCCACGGTCTCTCCAGGTTCTCAGAGACACGTTTAAATGCGTATTAATCTTCTTCTGATCTTCTCCTCTTGCAGTTACTTGGAAAAGTTCACAGATTTCCTGCGCCTCTTCGTCAGTGTCCACCTGAGGAGGATAGAGTCCAGTCCTCAGTTTCCCATCGTAGAGTTTCTCGCTCTGCTTTTCAAATACACCTTTAATCAGGTAATAACCACATAAATATAAATATATATATATATATACATATATATATATATTTATATATATATATATATATATATATATATATAAATATGTTTGTCTGGTCTGTGCAGGAAAGGAGCAGACCATCCGTTCTTCATGTTTCCAGATAAATTAAGATCTGTTCTGATATTTTGATCTTGTGTTTTTCAGCCGACCCATGAAGGCTACTTTGCCTGCTTAGATATTTGGAGTGTTTTCTTGGACTTTTTAACGACCAAAATTAAAAGCAGACTCGCTGACCGAGAAAGTGTTTTAAACAGGTGAGAGTTGAGAAAATCAATCCCCAACAGAAAACCTCATCCATGATTGTCCATGAGCTCATTATCATATGTGTGTGTGTGTGTGTGTGTGTTTTTGACAGGTACAAAGATGCCTTAGTCCTCCTCCTCAGAGAAGTCCTGAATCGTATTCAGTTCCGATATAATCAGGCTCAGCTGGAGGAGCTGGACGATGAGACTCTAGACGACGATGTAAGAGCGATTTTAACGTTTCTTTAATCTGAACTCTGTGTGAACGTTGATAAAGTTCAGTCTTGGTGTATTAACCCCTTCAGAACCAACAGTCCTCTCAAAGGTCGACCGCTTTCACCTCAACGTCTAAATCTTCTCCTTCATTTTGTAACCATAGCAACAGACGGAGTGGCAGAGGTACCTGCGTCAGAGTCTGGAGGTGGTTGCCAAGGTGATGGAGCTGCTCCCATCCCATGCATTTTCCACTCTGGTAAGAGACGGTTGACCTTCTGTTGTTTTTGCATATTTTAATTTAATTAAATTCAACTGAAAGAAAAAAACATCTGAACTCTGAGAGAAAGTTTGATTTTATTTTTGAAGTTTGTCTTTTACCACAGAGACAGAAAAAAAGTCCATTTATTTAATTTAAGTGACACTGAAGAGGAAGTCACATGGTAATCTGAACTGATTATATCAACTAGACCTTATTTTGAACCCGTGGGAGTGGGTTTGGGACGTAAGTGGTCCCACTTAGGTGATGTAAAAGCGTCACCTCTCAGATTATTTGTTGTAATATACCGTATTTTTCGCACTATAAGGCGCACCTGATTATAAGGCGCACCATCGATGAACGCGTCTATTTTCATACATAAAGTGCACCTGATTATAAAGCGCATTAAGACAAACGAAACAGTCAGATAAGTCAGACTTTATTGAACTCATTCAATAACTCTGCGAGGTTACGGTAGCTGCAGCGCTCCGACAAGCCAAACGGATTTGAAGTGCGCCTCGAACATTTTCAAAGTGAAACCGAATCTTATTCTCTGTATTTTATTTCTGGAGATATTTTGGCCGATTACCGATTCGTCTCAAACGGGCTGAAATTGGCCGATCAGCTCGCCGATAATTCGGTCAGGCCTGAGTTTAGACCGACACAAAACCAGATAAAACCAGATAAAAGTGTTAGTTCAGGAATGTTGTGATGATGATGAAACACAAATAAAAGTGTTGTTGTTATTTTGGTGTTTTCATATTTGAACTCTGATGTATTTGGTAAATATTGTTTTCATAAGTTTTCATTTCTATCTTGATCCATAAAACGGACCTGGATCTGGTTCCTGTTTTTGAAGTTGATCTTGTTATTTGTTCGTATGTTGAAAACTAAAATGAGGGGTTATATTTAAGGACTCTCTTTTATCTCAGCGGTGGGTTTTATTCTCCTCCTCCTCAGTCAGTCTTGGTTTCTCCTCCTCCTCAGTCTCTCTCTCTCTCTCTCTCTCTCCTCTCTCTCTCCAGTTCCCGGTCCTCCAGGAGAACTTGGACGTCTACATGGGTCTGCAGCAGTTCATCGTCACCTCGGGGACGAGTGAGTACACTTCCTCTCTAACCTTTTTTCTGAGGGTGACAGACAGACGTGCTGACTCAGCGTCTCTGTCCCCGCAGGTCGGCGGCTGAACATCACGGCGGAGAACGACTGCCGCCGGCTTCACTGCTCTCTCAGGGACCTCAGCTCGCTGCTTCAGGCCGTGGGCCGCCTGGCTGAATATTTCATCGGGGAGATTTTCGCCGCACGTTTCAGCGACGCTCTGGCCGTGGTGGAGAGGTCGGTGATGAGATCTTTGTGTCTGTGAAAGCTCAGTCTGCTGCTTCTCTGCTGCTTCTGTCTTTGGTTCGTATGAAAGTTAACGTGCTCTGTCTGTTTCAGGTTGGTGGAAGTGACGTGTTACGGCTCTCAGACCACCCTCTATGACCTGGAGACCGCCGTGCCTTCTGTACTCAAACCCGACCTCATTGATGTGTGAGTATGGTGTGAATGTGGAGGCGTCTGCGTGTTTGAGTCTTCAGTTTCAGTTCCAAATCGAGGAGACCGAGCTCTTCTGTTTTCTCAGGGTTTTTACTCTCGCTGATAAAAACCATGAGAACAGAAATGAGGGTTTGATGACAGTGAAGCAAAAGCTGCAGTCTGATCTGATCTGATCTCAGACTGATTTATTGATCATAACCTCTTAGATTTTTTCTAATTATTGTTCACGAGAGTCTCTAAGAGTAAACGTCACAGCCGAGTCTCCGGCCTCCGTCTCAGGGTGGAGTAAACTGACGATGATCATCCGTCACCGACTCTCTTTCTCCATCACAGACACGCACAGGCCCTCGCCGCTCTACAGGCCTACTCTCATTGGCTGGCCCAGTTCTACAGCGAGGTCCACAGTCAGAACCCGAGCCAGTTCATCAACCTCATCACTTCTGCGACGGACGCCAGCAGCCCGCTCATCACCGCCAAGGTCAGCCGCCGCCCTCCTCCGTGTTTATAAATGAGGAGGTTCGGTTTCCGTTGATGAACTCGATCCTCCTCTTCTGTGTTGAAACTCTAAAGGAGGAAGTATGAGGTGACAGATATATGAACCAAGACTTCTCACCTCTTAGTTTTTGTTCATGAGAGCTTCCTGCTGTTTGTCGGTGCACTTTTATTTTCCCTGTGAGTCATTAATTCACTTCTGTATCTGTTCATTCAAGGACCGATAATAAAACAGACTTTATTTAAGATCCTGTGACTTTAGTGTGAACGACTGAGAGGACATGAACATGTGAAGAAGACCTCATCACAAAACAAGTTTATTCACTTCAGAGGAAAATGAGGAGAAATGTCGAATCAGACTGTCCACAGAAAATATAATAGAGGATGTTTTAGAAAAGAGAAAGTTTAGTTTCCTTTCCTTTTACTTCCTCTTTCAGTGTTTCTTCTTCTTCTTCTTCTCCTTTTTTTTTCTCAGGTACCTGAAAAGTTGCTCCTCTCAGCGTGTCACCTGACCGTGTCCATCACCGCCACGGTGCGGCCCGTCTTCCTGGTCACTCTGCCGGCGGTTCAGAACATTTTCAACCTCATAACCACCGAGAGTCAGACCCGCAGACTTCCTCAAGAGGTCAAAGTTCATTTCATTTATATTTGAAGATAATGAGACTCATTCATCCTGTAACATTAAAGAACTTAAAGGTGTTGTAGTCAGGATCTGAGTTAGTTCCAGTTTTTAGGAGAAATCTTGAATGTTAACTCGACCCCTCCAACCAGTTTTCCCCTCAGCTCCTCCTCTCCCCTCAAGCCCCGCCCACAAACAGACGCTCCTGCTCGCTCAACTCAACTCAACTCAACTTTATTTGTTAAGCACTTTAAAACAACCACAGCTGTACAAAGTGCTGTACATAACTAGCCAAAACAACAAGATAAAAAACAATCAAAAAACAATTAAAACAATGGATAAAATAAAAGCAGAATTAAAAGTATTGTTTCAATGCTTTTAAAAACTAATTTAAAAACATAGAAACAAATAACTAAAAAAAAAAAAAAAACAAACAAACCATAAAACACTAGAACAGGAGCCGAGTCTCATGGAGGGTTAAAAGCCAATGAATAAAAATGCTCGTATCGTTCCAATTAAATTCAGATCTAATGCAGATAAATACTTCAGATCATTACAAATGGGGCCCAGTCAAGGTGAAAGTCAAAAGCATTGGTGCTACTGTAGATGCCAACAGACTACCAGCAAACACAATGTTTGCAGGACTTCTACAACGAGGATAAAGTGACATAGTCCAGGACCCGAGGGAGGACAGTTTAGCGATGGCGCTACAACACGCTACAGCAGGTCCGTTTGACAAGAAACACTTCTGTTACAGACACTTGTCTTACTTTGTTAAAGCGGTTTACCTGTCCAGCAGAAAGGTTACAGGGTCACCAAGATCCCCAAGCGTCCCCCATGGTTTATGTTGACCCGGCTTTTTAGCTCTTGTCCGGTCTACCTCCGTTTTAAGCGCCCGTTATTCCTCCAGAGTCTCCGGTATTTACTTTGTTTTCTTGCTTGTGTCGGCAGTCGTGGCCAAAGGAGGATTCAGACAATTTTCCGAACTTTCTGGTTGGTTTCTACTGTCCGATATTGTAGCACGCTAACTTTGTTTGGGCTCCTGAACGACACGGGGGAGCAGCGTCTGCCTCACAACCAATCAGGTTAGAGGAGGTGGAGAACGGCTTTGTTTACAGTCAGAAAGAGCGGACCGCTCAAAAATGTTCAAATGTTGACGACACAGACATAAGAGAACACAGAGATATCGATATATTACCAAATGTCATCAATAACTAATAACTATTGACTGATATTAGAAGAGTTTTTGCTTCTTTAACAGGTTCCTGTCTGCTCCACCTTTAGCTCTGAGGACTTTGCTCATTTCTCATCTCCTCTTAGTCTCGACTTTTATACTTGAGTCCAAATAAACTGTAACATCAGCTCAACAGTGTTGTTCTGTCCCTCTGACTGTGAAGGACCTGAAATGTTCTGAGTTGATGGTATCCTAACTCTTGGTGTTTTCTCTCTCAGGCTCACCTGTTGGTGTGTCGGTCGTTGTCCAACATGCTCCTCCTCCCGTGGCCCAACCTCCCAGAGAGCGAGCAGCAGTGGCAAACGCGCTCCAGTAACCACGCCAGCCTGCTGTCGGCGCTCACCCGAGAATATCGTTTATTGAGAGGGACGGTGAACATCAGTGCGAGGCAGCCCGACCTGGACAACAGTATTTAAATCTTTAATGTCTTTGTTTCTTCGTCGGTTTTTAACCTGCTCCCAGTTTTTCACGAGTCTCTGTTTTTAATCCAGTGAAAGCTGTGATCCACCAGACCCTCCCTGTCCTCCGAGACATCGTGGACAGCATCTCTGGGGAGTCCACCAAATCCCGTCAGATCTGTTACCAGAGTCTCCAGGAGTCTGTCCAAGTGTCCCTCAGCC